GAAGAGGTGGGCCCATCAACTAGGCTGGACCAGTGGGATTCTCTCCTGGGGTTTGGACCTTGTGCAGAAATTCACAGGGAGGTGAGATGGTTGGGGCTTGGCTTCCACCACAAGTCCTGGAAGACAAGGATCGCTGAAGCTCTGCTTCCACTCTTGTCCTCCCTGAGACCTGGTTAGTATTTAGTGTTAGTTGCTCAGTCGTGTCTGACACTTTGCGACCTGGTTAGTCAACTGTGTTTTTTCCCAGTTCTATAAGCTGGGCATTTCCAGTAAATTCTCCCTCTCTTTCAGTTCTCCAATGCCCCCACCCCACCATGTGCACACTGGAAATTTTAGAAAGTTGCAAAGTTGGAAGAATAGTGCAATGAAATTCTTATTCCGTTCACTTAGGTTCACATATTTTGCCACTTTGATCACATACATCCTCAAACTTTTTTTTCTTTTCTTTTTGTCTGCATTGTGCAGCCTGTGGGATCTTACTTCTCTGACAAGGGATGGAACCTGTGCCCCCGGCAGTGGAAGTGTGGACCCCTAACCACTGGACCGCCAGGGAATTGCAAAGCCCCATTTCTTGATTGGAGGAGTGTCTAGGAGTTTGGGGGAATATTTAAAAAACTAACACACAAGCACACAAGCGACTTCCCTGGTTCTTTTCCTCTAGGTCTCCCTGGTGGTCCAGTGGTTAAGAATTTGCCCCCCAGCACTGGGGATGCAGGTTTGAATCCTGGTGAGGGGACTAAGATCCCACATGCCACAGGGCAACTAAGTCTGAGCACCACAATTACTGAGCCAAAATGTTCTAAAGTCCATGCGTCACAACTAGAGAGAAGTCTGCATTCCCCGACTAAGACCTGGCATAGCCAAATAAATAAATTAATTAGTTAAAAAACGAACAAACAGAAAAAGCTAACACACAACCCCATAAATTCAATGCTGACACAATGTTGCTCAGTCGCTTAGTTGTATCCAACTCTTTGTGATGCCATGGGCTGCAGCATGCCAGGCTTCCCTGTCCATCACCAACTCCTGGAGTTGCTCAAACTCATGTCCATTGAGTTGGTGATGCCATCCAGCCATCTCATCCTCTGTCGTCCCCTTCTCCTCCAGCCTTCAATCTTTCCCAGCATCAGGGTCTTTTCCAATGAGTCAGTTCTTTGCATCAGGTGGCCAAAGTATTGGAGCTTCAGCTTCAGCATCAGTCCTTCCAATGAATATTCAGGATTGATTTCCTTTAGGATTGACAGAGAATCAATAATATTATCTAAAACACAGTTAACACTTAAACTTGTCCCAGTGATGTCCTTGATACCTATTTAAACAAATCCAGGATTCACTCCAAGTTATACACTGCGTTTAATTGTCATGATTCTTTAGTATCCTAGAACAATCCCCCTGTATGTTGTCTTTCAGGACATTGCCATCTTTAATGCAGTCCAGTTGTCTTGCAGAATATCCTACAATTCATATTTGCCTGGTGGTGTCTGCATGATTTGATTCAACATTTTTGGCAAAAATACTACTGAGGTGGCATTGTATACTTTCTGCAGCACATTTGGGCCACATATCATTAAATCAAAAGACATATAAACTCCCCAGATAATATGTCATTTATTGATTTATTAAAAGCTTTACTGCTCTACCAATAGAACAGGGTGCTCTAGCACTAAGAACTCTAATAAAAGTCACCCAAACCTCTCATCCTATCCACAAATGCCTATTATTGCTGGTCAAGGGAAACAGAAAATAGTTCAAAATGAATGAAAAAAATCAGACAGTATACAGTCAAAGGAAAAAAGATGGAAGATGAGAATCAGAACATTTCAGCTGCTGAAGACTCTCCTCCATAAGAACACTACCAGGCAGAGGAAAAGTTGAACACAACACTCCAAGCTGCACTATTCTTTTTTTTTTCAAACTGCACTAAATATTCTTAAACAAGCCTTTGTAGATATGAAAAAAACTACTGTAAATCAGAAATTTTAAGATATCATATAGAAATGGACCTAAAAATGAGAAACGGGAAATGAGAGTTAGCAAAAATCAAGAAAGAAATAGAAGAAAAAGTCAACATCATCTAACAAGCAAAGATTAAATTGCAATGTACTCAACTGAAAATATCATGAGAGGCATTTATGTCATAAAAGGAATGAAAAAAATCCAAGAGAACAGAAAATCAATCTCAAAGTAAAAATGTGTCATAGAGAAAGACATGGCTAAAGATAAGCAAAGAAGGACTTCCCTGGTGGTCCAGGGGCTAAGACTGCACTCCCAATGCAGGGAGGCTTAGGTTCAATCCCTGGTCAGAGAGCTAGATCCCACGTGCGGCAACTAAAGGTCTTGCGCACTGCAATGAAGAGCAAAGACCCCACGTACTGCAACTTAGACCCAACACAGCCACATAAACAAATATTTTTTAAAAAGATAAGCAATGATGATCCAACATACCCATAATTGGAGTGCCCAAAAACCAAAAAAACAAAACAATAGAAAAGAACTGAAATCACACCAAAGTGTAACTCCCCATAGAAAAAACTTTCCAGGAAAAGCAGTATGAACATGAAAGGGTCTATCAAGTACTCAGAAAAACTGTACTGAAACGGTCAACTCTGAAAAAATTTGGTAAACCTAGAAAAAAAAGAAGGGTGTCTTGATCATGCTGATGGTGGGGGTGGGGGCGGGGAGCATGGTAGTGTTATTTACTCTCCCTGTTGTCCTGAATGGCTTTGGGAGGATGTGTGAAGAGATTTGGATTTTGGCAGCTGCCGTTATCTTAAGGGAACCTGGAACCCAGCTTGGGTCCTCTTGATGACCTGGCAGAGACCACTGGGAAGTTACACATGAGTTGTCAATTCAGTTCCTGTTACTTAAAAAAAAATTTTTGCTGAAGTTGGCCAGAGTCATCTTGTTGCTTCCAGCCAAAGGTTCCCATCATGTTTCCTGCCTTCTGGATGAGCTGCGTGGCAGAGAGAAGCAGATGTGATCTGGAGAGAAAGGTGAAGGAGCTTTGGAGCCCTCATTTCAACCCATTCAGAATTCTGTGTATTTATTGAAATTTTTGCTGCAGAAAAACTGACTCTCACAGAATGAACACAGCCATGTTGTTAGCACCCAGATAAAAGGGGGGACATACAAACAGGAGAGGCTTCTCACACTCCTTTAGGTCACTGCCCCCTCAAGGGCAGCCAATGTTGACTTCTCTCAGTACAGGTTACTGTGACCTGTTGTTACACTTTGCGTGAATGGAATCACAGAGTCACCCAATATGTATATCTGGTCTGGTTTCTTTTGCTCAGTATGACATCTGTGCATTTCACCCATGTTGTTGTAGATTTAGGATCCATTCTGGAGGTGGAACAGACAGGACTTGCGGATTCATTTGTCCAGTGCCCTTGGACAAAGCATATCACCCTTTTGAACTCAGTCCTCTCATCTGTAAAATGGGACCAAAATGCTAATTCACAGCTGTTATTAGTGCTTCTATTTCTTCACTGAGCTTCTTCAAAGGGTCTAGAATAGAGCAAAAGTCCCAGGAGCCTTCTCCCTCCTCTCGTCTGAAAGAGTGTAACTGGGATGTCGGTGGGAAGGTAAGTTGGTGGAGCCACTGTGGAAAATAGTCTCAAGATTCCTCAGAAAACTAGAAATAGAGTTACCATATAATCCAGCAATCCCACTCCTGGGCATATATCCAGACAAAACTGTAATTCAAAAAGATACATGCACCCCTATGTTTATAGTAGCACTACTCACTCTAGCCAAAACATGGAGCCAACCGAAATGGCCACCGACAGTAGTGGATACAGCGGATGTGGCTCATACATGCAGTGGAATACTATTCAGCCATAAAAGGAAGGAGATAATGCCATTTGCAGCAACATGGATACAACTAGAGATGATCATACTAAGTATGTCAGAAAGAGAAAAACAAACACCATGTGATACCACTTATATGTGGAATCTAAAATATGACACAGATGAACTTGTCTACAAGACAGACCCAGAATCAGGGACATAGAGAACAGACTGGTGGTTTCCAAGGGGGAGGGATTTGGGGGAGGGCTGGGGTGGGGGGTGGGGGGGGGTTAGCAGATGTAAACTTTACATACAGAATGGATAAACAGCAAGTCCTACTGTATAGCACAAGGAACTGTATTCAGTATCCTGTGATAAACCATAATGGAAAAGAATGTATATATAAAAAGAATGTATATATATATATGCGTGTGTGTGTGTAACTGAATCAATTCATTGTACAGCGGTAATTAACACAGCATTGTAAATCAACTGTACTTCAATTAAGAAAAAAAGTCTGGCTGTGGCTGCCAACACTGAGGCTCGGTGGGGTCCCAGTGGGCACTGGCCCCCCCCCAGCCCCCCACTGCACTTTCCAGTTTGGAAAAAGCTCTTTCCCGGGTTTCCTGCTCGTCCCATCTCTGCCCTGTCTCCTCAGTTCCCAGACCGTGGGAGGGCGCGGCTGCGCTCTCTGGAAACACGCTGGCCCAGCTGGGGCTGACTTTCAGTTGAGGAAGCCTCAGTTTGCACAGGCTTGTCTAGGGGGCTGGATGCTTGTTCAGCTCCAGGAGTCTCTGTGATGAGCAGGCCGTCTCTGGACCTCTCAGGGCTGTAATGGGGGTGATAGGGCGACCCCGGGCCAGAGCCCGCCGACCCTGCGCCTGTCATGCCGGCCCCGGGGGATCTGACGCAGCTGCAAGGTGCATCCCGGGGTGACCGCACCTGCTGGCCCCACAGGTTCTAGTTCGACTGGTTTGAGGTGCGGACGCACAGCGGGAGTTTTGAAAGCTCTCCAGGTGATTCTAACGCGCTTTGAAGTTGGCGACCAGGGCCAGGCTCACAGTAGGAGCACAGAAATGTTGACCTGGCGAGAGAGGCCAGAGTTGGTTGGGAAGGCTGGAGGGGGCGGCTTCAGCTGCAGGCTCTCCTCACTGCAGTCCACCCGCCTCACTCTGCCTTACTTGAGCCCGGGAATCTAGGACAGCCCTCACCTAAAACCTCCTGTGCCTCTGCACTTGGAGGAAGTGCCTCCCCGACTCCTCTCTGCCTTCAGCGCAGGTGAGCCCCGCCACCGCAGGAATCCGAATCCGAGGAGGCGGTGGCCCAGTCAGGAGGGAGCCCCGAAATAGACCCCATCCCCCGCCGCCCCCGCTGCCTCCTCCCAGGATCTGCTCCAGTGAAAAACAGCCCTCGAGACCCGAGTGTTTTCTCCAGGCGTCGGAGCGCGGAGGGCTCTGAGTCCTGGGGCAGCGTAGACCAGGGCCCGGGTCCGGCTCAGACGCACGGAGCCACTCAGGCCAAGCCGGCGCGCAGTGCGGACGCTCGGCCACCCGGCGGCGCTGCTGGTCCGCGAAGGGAGCCGCGTGGCGGCGGAGGCTCCGCGCGCGCTGGTTAGGGAGGAGGCCCCTCAGGACACTTCGCGGCCCGGGGGCGTCCCTGCATTTCGGGGGTGGGTCGTGGCCGACGGGGTTCCTCATCCTGAGGAGGTCGGGGCGGGGTTGCTGGGGACAGAAACCGGGCCACCATCTCCATTCTCCGCATTCTTTTATTTTTTTGATCTCACCTTTCCCACGTGCTTCCCGAGGACTGAACTTTGGGAGGAGGGGCCGGGGAAGGTCAGGACCGTCAATCCATCTAACTAGTCTTGGTCTGTGTGTCCCTCTAGCTGTCTACCCACAGGCTCTAAATCAGCTTGTTGTTCAGTCGCCCAGTCTTACCCGACTCGTCCCGACCCCATGCGCTGCAGCAGGCCAGGCTTCCCTGTCTTTCACCGTCTCCGGGAGTTTGCTCAAACTCATGCCCATCCACCCATCCCATCCTCTGTTGTCCCCTTCTCCTCCTGTCTTCTATCTTTCCCAGCATCAGGGTCTTTTCCAATGAGTCGGCTCTTCGCATTAGGTGGCCAAAGTATTGGAGCTTCAGCTTCAGCATAATTCCTTCCAATGACTATTCAGAGTTGATTTCCTTTAGGGTTGACTGGTTTGATCTCCTTGCAGTCCAAGGGACTCTCAAGAGTCTTCTTCAACACCATAGACTGAAGAAATGGGAGCTGGGTAGCAGATCCTCCCCCCCACCCCCCCCAGACTGGGGAATTGGGTGTCCTGGAATTCTGGCCCCGGGGTGACAGTTAAGCTGGGCCTTGAAGGTCAGGGAGGGGGTTTCTGGGTGAGAAGAGCAGGTGATTCAGCCACAGAGCTGGGAGGGACCTTGGAGGACGCAGGGTCTCTGGCTGGAGAGAGCCAGGAGCTGCATACACGATCTCTCCTGACCATCCGCTGGGACCACCCTCCTGGGTCACCCTGGTGGGGAGGGGGTCTCCTCCTGATCAGTGAGGAAATGAGTCTGCAGAGGTCAAGGGGCTGACGGTGGCCCCTCTGGCGGTGAGTGTTCAGTTAGGGATGAATGCAGGTGTATTAGGCTCAAGTGGAGAAAGAACTGGACTTCAACCACAGAGCATGTTAACCAAGTATACGAGCTGGGGCTGGGCTTCCCAGGTGGCGTCAGTGGTGACTCTACTGCCAACGCGGGAGACACAAGAAACGCAGGTTTGATCCCCGGGTTGGTGAGATCCCCTGGAGGAGGACACGGCAACCCACTCCAGTATTCTTGCCTAGAGAATCCCATGGATGGAGGAGCCTGGTGGGCTATGGTCATAGGGTCCCAAAGAGTTGGACACGACTGAAGGGACTTAGCATGCACGCATGCACGCATGCACAGGCCAGGTCAGCCCTGGTCAGCTTGCGGTCCTGAACACCCCGACACCGGCCTCCTCGGGACACAGGGGGCCTCTCCTGCTCCCAGCTTCCACTCTGCGCCTGGAGGTTTCTCCTGCTCTGCTTTCCTCCCTACTCATCTCCTGCTCTTGGAGGGGTCTGTCTGCCATCAGCCGTGGCCTCTGCAGTTGTGGGCAAAGTCTTTGCCCCTGGGAAGGCAATTCAGGCTCTGCCAGCAGGTTGGGGATGCGGGGTGGGGTGGAGCCAGTGCTTCAGGAGCCCTGCTCCTCCTGTGACCACCATGCGCTGGGGCCAGAGAAGCCATGGGCTTGGAGCCAGGCCGTGCAGAACGGGGGCCAAGGGCAGGGGTCGGGCTGAGCACTGAAGTGATGTTGCTGCGTAACCCTGGGCTGTGGCCCCCTCTCTGGGCTTCAGTTCCTCATCTGCACCCTCAAGGGCTGGTACAGGTCTCTGAGGTGGGGAGGGCAGAGGGGGAGTCCCAGGTCTGGGAGGCAGGCGGGTGGGGGGCAGGTGGAGTGGGCGGGAGGCCCAGGTCCTCTGGGCTGAGCGGGGCCCATCCTCCACCCGCCCCCCCCCCCACCTTCCTCCTGCTGGTCCCGAATGTCTCCCATTGTGGGGGCCTCAGACCCCACTCCAGTGGCTTGGAGTTCTATTAATATTTCAGTTGGATGAATTAGAGAGTCTTTCTCCCCTCCTCCTTCTGATGTCCCAGGAGGGAATTAAAAGCACATCCGATCCAATCAAATGCTATTAAAATGCAGCCCATGAGGGCAGGAGATGGTGGGTGACTGAGGGCTTTTCTTTCTTGGCACCCCTTTGTCCCCCATGGGGGGCTAGGTGATGGTTGGTCTTTGTGGGTACAGGAGGCAAGAGCAGGCTGAGGTGGAGGGAGGCAAGGGGTGGTCAGCTAACTGCTGCTGCCTTAGAGGGAGCAGAGCCCCCGAGTGTTTGGCTCAGCTTTCCTGGACAAGTGAGGGTGTGGGGATGGGCAGGGCAGTGACCTGACCATGACCTCCCCAGCCATGCGGTATTTTCCAGGTCAGCCCCGCTGCCCTGGCTCTGCGTGGGGGATGCTGCAGGCAGCTGGCTGTGAGGATGAAAGCCTCGGAGACAGCAGGGGCTTGGGGATCCACCCTCCTTGAGGCACCGCTAACAAGAGGGCCTGGGAGTCCTTTTTGGCTTTCTGTCCTGCCTGCTGTCTGACTCCATCTTCGGGAACAAACGCTGGGCTTCCTTCCCCACTGCCCAGGCGGTCCCTGAGGAGGGCTGAGGCTGGGGGGTGTGTGTGGGGTTGATGGAGGGGCCTGCCAGGGGTTCCCAGCCCTGCTGTCAGTCGGCCAGCTGGGCTGTGCGGCCTTTGCCCCAACCCAAGGCCTGTTTGGAGGACAAGCTGAAGCTTCGATCATAGGGGTCCCTTAGACCTGAAAAGCTCTTCTCAGCCCCCTCCTTTCCTTTCGTCCCAGAAGATCCCTGAGTGGCCGCAGCATCGTGGTCCATATTTGCTGGAGGAGGGAGCGGAGGCTCAAAGGAGGGGCACGTCACGGACACATGCCCTCTAGCACAGGTGCTGGGGACAGTGTTTGAGGCGGGGCTGCTCTGTGCCGTGTGTGTGATGATCAAGGCGGTGCGGTGGGTGAGAGGGAAGGGATTGGGAGGATGTGGAGAAGGCAGGGCAGGGAGGGGGTGCAGCCAGGAGGAGAGGCATCCCCCTTCCAGGCTGGCCCCTCCCCATTCCCTCCCCCACCTCCAGCCAGGCCTGCGGGGTGGCAGCCCCTCCTGCCCTGGCCCCTGGCTGCTCTCCTGATGCCCAGAGCCCCTGCCATCGGTGGAGGAGTAGGCCAGCCACGGGGCCCAGGGCGGGGCGGGAGGAGCTTTTCAACATTAATTGTATTTTGACATCCTGGCTGTGACATTCATCCTAATGACACTGGGCTCACAGCTGACAGCCCGCGGAGGAGCGTGGAGCGAGAGGGATGATAAGTAGTTTTAAATTGCAGCGTGGCAAAGAGGCCGGAAAATCCGGAGTCTTAAGAAAAAGGAGGCAGAGGGAGGAGGAGGAGAGACTGAAAATCAAGGAGGAGGGAACTTCCCCGGTGGTCCAGTGGCTAAGACTCCACGCTCCCTAAGCAGGGGGTTTGGTCCCTGGTCAGGGAGCTAGATCTCGAATGCTACAGCTAAGACTGAAGATCCTGCATGCCGCATCTAAGACCAGTCATGGCCAAAAAAAAAGATTAAAAAAATCTAGGAGGAGGAAGCATCCTTCTCTCTGGGGCAGGGATCAATCATTCGTTTAACAAGTGAACATTTACTGGGCCCCCACTGCATGCTTGGTGCAGGCTCAGCCCGTGGAGGGTCAGGTGCCCAGGCAGGCTGTGTACCCCACTCCTCCACAACCTGGGCACTCAGCCCTTCCAAAGCCTATTCCTCTTTCAGGGTCTAAGAGATGCTTCCTCTGGGGGCCCTGACCCCCAGGCCTCCCTTCCTAGGCACTGAAGATGTTGGGGAGGCTGCAGAGTGCCCCTTGCTCTTCCTCTTCCATGTCCCTTCTCTCTAGCAATCTGGGGCTGACTGTCCCCTCAATCCTTACCCACCTGGTCTGGCTCCTGCCAGGTCAGGTCCCCAGTGCTGGGGTTTAGTAGAGCTGTGTTCAGAACCGGCTCTCTGCTCCCTTTGGTCTCTTTCCTCTTCCCATATGTTGTGGGCGGGCATGGTGGGTAGGAGGGTGTAGGCAAAGCTGTGCTGTGGACCTTGGAGACTCTTTGGTCCAAATGGGATGATTCCAGGTGCATAGGCTCCGGGGGACCGGTGGTTTTGGAATTGAGAGAGATAATATGGCACAAATATGATGTAGTGTGCAACATCCCCAGGGGGCCTGGGGTAGGACCCCCAAAACAAATATGCTGGCCCTGGTTCCCGAGGTAAAAGAGAATTCTGCCACCGAGGGATCAAGACAGGGACAATAACTCGATTTCACATCAGGTTTTGCAACCAAATGAGTATGCCGAAAATTTATGGACCAACTGCTTTACAGAGCCTGTAGGATTTTGGAGCTGTGGAATGGGTTGGCTTTAGCCAGCTCCTTAGTCCAAGTCAAAGACCTGAGAAAGTCCCAGGGGGTGTGAGATTCCTGAGGTTGGAGCCATCCCCGCCTCAAGGGTTGGGGGGTGGTCACTCCCTGGGCTGTCCCGGAGCCTGGCCTGGGGGAATTTCCAGGTACCCCGAGCCCTTGAGACTCAGTATCTCTGTGGGGCAGAGGGGGAGAGCTGGGCTGGCCTGGGAGGCACAGCAGGGATGACTTACCCCAAGATGCTTGACCCAGGGCCTCACGTCTGGCCCCAGCTCTCCTCAACCCCGCTGACCTGCAGGGTGACTGAGGACTCTCTGCAGAGCCTGGGGCTGGGCCTTCTCTTGTAGTCAGCTCTTCATCCCACAAATGACCTGCCAGGGCATAGTGATTGTTTAAACAACACCCCCAGTAGAGACATCTCCATCTCATGGCCTGGTTGAGGGGAAACCAAAATTGAAACCTGTCAGACACGGTGGGTGAGGCGGTGGCTCAGCCCACTCCATGTGGCGATCATTTCTCAGGTGTTCCAGGCCTGCCAGTCTCTTCACAGGCCCCTGCACCTTCAAGCTCACTTTGATCTATTTCAACAAATTCTAAACTTCAGGATTTTCCAAGACAATTGTTGTCTTAAAAAAATTTTTTTTGGGGGACATACTATACAGCATGTGGGATCTTA